AAAAAAAAAAAAAAATTTACATTTGAGAGGAATAAAGGAGTAGTACTTAGAAAAGATGTTCCTGAAGAAGGAGGAGGAGGAGAAAAGGAAGGGTTACAGTGTGGCATTGGCAGGGAAAGACCAGTGGAACAGTAGTCCAGATAAAAACCCATGCATATATGGAAACTTTATATGTAACACAGCAGTCAATACAGTTTGGTAGGGAAACAAAGGACTGTTAAATAAATGGTTCTGGGACAATAGGATATCAAAAATAAGAAAATGATGCTACCTTGTACCATATAAAAAAAAAAGTTCTAGGTGGATTAAAGGCTTAAGAGTGAAATGGACTCTCAAGAAAATATAGGTGAAGATCTTTATGACCCTCTACAGAGAATATTTCTTAAACTAGACACAAAAAGTATAACCAAAAAGGAAAAGATTGGTTAAGTTCTACCCCATTAAAAAAAATGGTAAAAACACAAGCTCCAAAGTGAAAGGGGTTTGTATTTTATATATTTTCAACAAAGAAATATAAAACATGAAGAGTCTCTCTCTCTCTCTCACATACACACACACACACACACACAGAGCCCAGTAGAAAAATGGTCAAAAGAGGGGCGCCTGGTGGCTCAGTCGGTTAAGCATCTGCCTTCGGCTCAGGTCATGATCTGAGGGTCCTGGGATCGAGTCCCGCATTGGGCTCCCTGCTCAGTAGGGAGCCTGCTTCTCCCTCTGCCTCTCTCTCTCTGTCTCTTAGGAATAAATAAATCTCAAAAAAAAAAAAAAGTTATAAAAAAAAATTTGACATCAGTGGTGCCTGGCTGGTTCGGTGGGTAGAGCATGCAATTCTTGATCTCAGGGTTGTGAGTTCAAGCCCCACGTTGGGCATGGAGCCTACTTAAAATACGTACACACACACACACACGTATATGTGTATATGTATACATGTATACATGTACTTTAAAAGAAAATTAAGAACTTGACATCAAGAATTGGTGAGGATGTAAAGCAAAAGGGATCTCTCAGACACTGCTGTTTTGCCATTGTAATTTAGAATAACCACATCAGAAAACTGACATTACCTTGCAAAGTTGATGCACATACCCAAATGTTCAGCAACAGAGGATGCTATACAGCCTCTGTGCAAATAAGTCACACACACAAATACATACCATTTGCATAACTGATTCCATTTATATAAAGTTCAAAACCATGAAAACAAATATGTTCGGAATACATGCAGTAGTGTGTTGGAGCTGGTTGTAACAGGTTGGGAAAAACTGGCAAATGCTACAAATCAGGGCTATTTTTTTCCTTCTGGTGAGCTGGTTAAATATTTACAAGCACAGAAGTACACCACAGGAGATGCATAGTAGTGAAACAATAAATAAAAACAAAAGAATACTAAACAGAGAGGGGCACACAGGGGCAACATTCCTTCAATAAGGAATGTTCTAATGCTGCTTTTTTGTGCATACAAACTTCTTAATAAGAAAAACAAAATAAGGGTTAGCTTGGTCAAAGCCAGGGTCAGTGGTGTGTGTAGTCTGGAGGGTCTGAGGAGAGGTAGCCCCGGAGGTGAATAAGAGAATGATTAGTTGGAGCAATTGCAAGCATGCTTTTTCATGCTCAAGCGTCTGAGAAGCAAGGAGCAGTGGGAGTTGGTGTGCCCTGGGGTGAGAGATTAGGGTAGGTAGGGCAGGAGCAGATCACTGAATGCCTGTATGCCAGGGTCAGCAGTTTGGATTCACTTTGGGCAATGTGGAGTATGGTCTTGGCAGGGTAGAGGCAAGGTGGGCAGGAAAGTGAGAAGTTGGAGTGGCTTTGCTGAAAGATGAAAGCCAAAGCAAGACCATGGCTCTGAGGAGGAAGAGGCTTGAGAGGTGCCTAAAAGGTAAAATGGACCAAGCTTAGTGACTGATTGGATGTGGGATGTGGAAAACAGGGTGCTTCTGCCCTCAAGGAGGTAGAGCAGAATTCCCCAATTTTTAAGGGTGGGCCATGAAATGACTTCCTTCCAAGGAGTACAATCCAGAAAGGAGGAAACAAAAGTAACCTTATAGTGGAGAGAAACCTGAAAAACACCTACCTCAGCAGGTGAAGGTCAACATTACCAGTGATGTCATGTTGATATGATGGAATGAGAATGGCATTTCACCTCCGTGGTCTTCCTTCCAGAAGCCCCTAACCTCAGTCTAATCATAAGGAAAAACATCAAACAAATCCCATTGAGAGATTGTACAAAATACATGACCAGTCCTCCTTAAACTATCAGAGTCATCAAAAAACAAGAAAAGTTTGAGAAACAGTTTTAGCCAAGAGAAGCCTAAGGAAACATGACAACTAAATGTAATGTGGTATCCTGGTTGGGATCCTGGAATAGAAAAAAAGACATTAGTTAAAAACTAGGAAATCTGAATAAAGTATGTACTTCCATTATAAATGATGTATCTGGAGGAAATAATCAACAACTATAGAGAACAAACTGATGGTTACCAAAGGGGAGGTGGGTGGAGGGATGGGTGAAACAGGTGATGGGGATTAAGGAGTACACTTAATTGTGATAAGCACCAGGTGATGTATGGAATTGTTGAATCACTGTATTGTACACCTGAAACTAATATAACACTGCATGTTAGCTATACTGGAATTAAAATAAAACTTAATAATAAATATCACTAAATTGAACATTAAAAAAAACCCTTGATGTATCAATATTGGTTGTTATTTGTGACAAATATACCTGACTCATGTAAGCCATTAATAATACAGGAAACTGGGTGTGGGGTATATGGGAATTCTATACTGTCTTCCCAACTTCTCTGAAAATCTAAAACTATTCTAAAATTTAAAACAAATTTTTAAAAAGTCAGCTAAATGCATTTGTTCTGAAAAGTTTTTTTTTTTTTAAAGATTTTATTTATTTTTGAGAGAGAGAGTGTTGGGAGGGTGGAGGGGCAGAGCGACAGGGAGAAAGAGTCTCAAGCCAACTCTGACTCTGCACTGAACCTGGAGCCCCAGTGGGGCTCAATCTCTCGACCCTGAGATCATGACCTGAGCTGAAACCAAGAGTCGGACCCTCAACCGACTGTCCCACCCAGGCGCCCCCGTTCTGAAAAACTGAGTTGAGAGTTTGAGTTGAGTGACCTTTATCAGGGTCACAGAATCAGCCCCTATTCTTCTAATTCTTCTATTGGCTCTTCTGTGAGGCGGAACTGAGCGGTGGTTTGCTTAGGCAGGAAGGACTACCACTCCCAGAGTGCCCCTGTGCGGTTGTCAGGAGCAACCAGAGAATGCAGACTAACAGCCCTCCTTCAAGTCGGGTTTATACAACGACTGAGTGCCTTGCCAGCCAGCCATGGGCCAGGATTATTACTCGGTGCTCCAGATCACTCGCAATTCAGAGGATGCCCAGATCAAGAAGGCGTAAGTTGAGGCGGGAGTGAGGCTTTAGGGGTGTGCCAGGAAGTCCCCACCTTTCTCTCTTCCAAATTGAGCTTTCTTGAACAGCTTAGGGCAGGCAAGGTAAACCTTGTTCCTTCTCTTGCTTCTTGCATACCTATAGCATGGGTTTGGGCTGGGTCAGAGTTCCCAATCCATCATCCTTTACCCCCTATGCCCTGTCTCCCCTCCTGGGTATCCTGGTTTTTCTAGCAATAAAAATAGGGACAAAGGAGACATTTGAACTTTATTCTGATTATGGAGAACCAAAAGATTGAGAAAAGGAGAGTGACCTGACCAGATGGATGTGTTTCAAATTTTATTCTGGCCATCAGATGAGTTTTTGATGTTGAACTGCATTTCTCAATACTTTGATCAGGTCCTGGGGACTTTGTGGTCCATTTCCAAGAAAGTCTAGGACAGAAATCAGCACATTTTTCTGAAAAAATGTGTTTTTTGGGGGCACCTGTGTGGCTCAGTCGGTTAAGCTTCAGACTTGATTTCGGCTCGGGTCATGATCTCGGGGTCATGAGATTGATCCCCGCGTCCAGGCTCCACACTGGGCTCCAAGCCCGCTTATGATTCTCTCTCTCCCTTTCCCTCTGCTTCCCACCCCCCCCCACTCTGCTCGCACACATGCTCTCTCTCTCTCTTAAAAAAAAAAGATGTGTTTTTTTGATGAATATTTATTGAGTGCCTACCCTATGGTTAGGTGCAGTGGTAGCAGCTGGAGATATAATCATGAATCAGGCAGATACACAGCTTAATTTTGTTGATGAATACAGATGTTGAGTAAGTCATAAGTGTGATGAGTGTTACAGAAGAGGAAGTACAGAGTGCTGTGGAAGCTTATTTTAGAAGGAGAGAGACCCCTTCAGAGGCTGTCGTGATAATCAAGGCAGAAGATGAAGCTTAGGGGCACCTGGGTGTCTTAGTTGGTTAAGCGTCTGCCTTCGGCTTAGGTCATGATCCCAGGGTCCTGGGATCGAGCCCCACATCGGGCTCTCTGCTCAGGGGGGAGCCTGCTTCTCCCTCTCCCTCTGCCCCTCTCCTTGCTTGTATGCTCTCGCTCTCACTCACTCACTCTCTTGCAAATAAATAAATAAAATTTAAAAAAAAAAAAAGAAAAAAGATGAAACTTGAAGCAGAACAGTGTGCTGGAGAGAGGAGAGAGAATGGACTTAGCTATTAATGGGATCATTGGAAGGTAAAGAAAAAGGGAGGAATCTGTGATAATACAGTCAGTTAAGGTTGGGTAGTGATACATTTCTTGAACGTACAGATTCTGTTCTGAGAACCTTCCATCATTATTTCATTTAGTCTTCACAACAACCCTGAGAGGTAGGTATGGTTTTTATCCCAAGGCCATGTGCCTAGTAAATGGCAGAACCAGTATCCAGACACCAGGCCTACTGTGGGCCAGGTCCTATAGGGCATTTATGTGGGGTTAAGTGGAGAGAGTCTACAATGTGGCTGGAGAAACAAGACACAAACTCATGAGACAATTACAGAACAATTCAGGACAGCATGTGATGTCACCCACTGTTCAGAGCATCTCCTTGGCCAGTGGGAGCCATCTGAGGAGAGGTCACAAGGAGTTAGAGTGCAGAAAGATAAGCCAAAGTTAAATACTGGGAAGACCCAGGTCTGAATCCAGGTTCTCCTATCTGCTAGCTGTGTGACATGGACAAATTAACCTCTCTGAGCCTCAGTTTTTCCATCTCTAAAATAATTATTATAAGGGTTGGGACACCTGGGTGGCTCAGTGGGTTGAGCGTCTGCCTCGGCTCAGGTCATGATCCCCGGGTCCTGGGATTGAGCCCCACATTGGGCTCCCTGTTCAGCGGGGAGTCTGCTTCTCCCTCTCCCTCTGCCGCTCACCCCGCTTGTGCTCTCTCACTCTCTCTCTCTCAAATAAATAAAATTCTTTTAAAAATAATAATTATAAGGGTTGTTGTGGTATTGACATGGGATTATATGAGATAATGAACATGAAATGCCTAGCAATCATTTGCAGCAAAAATCGTGTCATATAAAGAGTGATTAAGGGAACTTTCCAGAATGCTCGGTGAGATTCGGAGGAGCGGCAGCTGCCCAAGCTGTGCCCAGCCACAAGCTCCTTCCCGCTCCCCTACACCGGCCTCAGCCCTCTCACTGGCTGTAGAAAATGGTGAAAGAAACCACTTTACTATGATGTTTTGGGGATCAAACCCAATGCCACCCAAGAGGAACTGAAAAAGGCCTACAGGAAACTGGCCTTGAAGTACCACCCTGATAAGAATCCAAATGAAGGAGAGAAGTTTAAACAGATTTCTCAAGCTTACGAAGTACTCTCTGATGCAAAGAAAAGGGAATTATATGACAAAGGAGAACAGGCTTAGCTGGTGGTGGTTTTGGCTCCCCCATGGACATCTTTGATATGTTTTTTGGAGGAGGAGGAAGGATGCAGAGAGAAAGGAGAGGTAAAAATGTTGTGCATCAGCTCTCAGTAACCTTAGAAGATTTATATAATGGTGCAACAAGAAAAAACTAGCTCTGCAAAAGAATGTGATTTGCAATAAATGTGAAGGCCGAGGTGGTAAGAAAGGAGCCAAATGTTGTCCCAATTGCTGAGGTACAGGAATGCAAATAAGAATTCATCAGATAGGACCTGGAATGGTTCAGCAAATTCAATCTGTGTGCATGGAGCGCCAGGACCATGGGGAACGGATCAGTCCTAAAGATAGATGTAAAAGCTGCAATGGAAGGAAGATAGTTCAAGAGAAGTAGATTCTAGAAGTTCATATTGACAAAGGTATGAAGGATGGCCAGAAGATAACATTCCATGGTGAAGGAGACCAAGAACCAGGACTGGAACCTTGTTTTAGATCAGAAGGACCGTGCTGTTTTTACTCGGCGAGAAGACCTTTACATGTGTATGGACATACAGCTGTTTGAAGTGTGGTGCGGCTTGCAAAAGCCAATATCTACTCTTGACAACCGAACCATCGTCATCACCTCTCATCCAGGTCACATTGTCAAGCATGGAGAGATCAAGTGTGTGCTAAATGAAGGCATGACAATATATCATAGACCATATGAGAAGGGTCGCCTAATCATTGAATTTAAGGTAAACTTTCCTGAGAATGGCTTTCTCTCTCCTGATAAACTCTCTTTGCTGGAAAAACTCCTGCCTGAGAGGAAGGAAGTAGAAGAGACTGATGAAATGGACCAGGTAGAACTGGTGGACTTTGATCCAAATCAGGAAGGATGGCGCCACTATAATGGGGAAGCCTATGAGGATGATGAACATCATCCCAGGGGTGGTGTTCAGTGTCAGACCTCTTAATGGGGCCAGTGAATAACACTGCTGGCATTTTATATGCAGTAGTGAATGAGTGAAGGACTATAATCATAGCTCACTACTTGCTATTGTTTTTGTTTTAATATTCAACTATAGGGGGCGCCTGGGTGGCTCAGTCGGTTAGGCGGCTGCCTTCGGCTCAGGTCGTGATCCTGGGGTCCTGGGATCGAGCCCCACATCTGGCTCCCCGCTCAGCAGAGAGCCTGCTTCTCCCTCTCCCTCTCCCTGCCGCTCTGCCTATTTGTGCTCTCTCTCTCTCTCTGTCAAATAAATAAAATCTTCAAAAAAAAAAAAAATTCAACTATAGTAGTGTTTTAAAAGTTAAATGAAGAATAAACTCAAATATAAAAGCTCAAAAAAAAAAAGTGGTTTAAAGAACCACATGTATTTCAAACAATGGCTCTTAACTCTTCTCTCTTGTAACAGCTTTAAGGGATGAGTCCCATACAGGAGTACCTAGATTTTGACCTCCCTCCTCAAATGCTGAATGTATATAATGAAGAAAAGCACCACGATGATTCCTAATGCCTAGCTGTTTACCTTCTCAGTACCTCTCACTCAGTCTAGGCCGCGGCATCTGAGGTGCCTCCACGCCATCCTGCCCACTCCGGAAAACAGTGATGGCACTGCCAGGCAAATCTGACAACCACTCAAGTTTATGTGCAAATGGAACTCTTCTCAAACCTACTTACTTTTACTCACTGATAGAATTTACTTGCAGTTCTCCCCATAACTGACTTTGACCTTTGTACCTGAGAAGGGCTGGCTTCAAAGCCTCAGGGAGGTCGTGACAATTGTCTTCAAGCCTCCAAAGGTAGACAAAACAGATACTCTCTGTAAGGCCTCCGGGGGCCGAGTCAGGACCTTCAGAGTCACAGGACAGCTGAGCTCACTCAGTAAGATGAAATGTTGCCTTAGAGTCAGAGCAGTGAGATGGGCTGCCTTGTGGGACAGTTTGGGTCATTCATTTACTCCCTGCTGCTCAGTGCTAGGCATCAGCGACAGAACTAGACAGAGCAACTCAAGGAACTCACGCTGGTGGGAGAGACAAGCCAGTCAATAAACAGTTGGAGCACCGAGTGCTAAGTTGAGGGATTGAAGGCACTGGGGATGCGGGGAGGGGAGTCTAACCCAGAATGGAGGCTGCTGTTAGGGAAGGCATCCTGGAGGTGTTGACCCCTGAGCTGCGTGTTGAAAGATGAATGAAAACGTGCCAGTGGGAGATGGGAGGGACTGGAGAGGGGTGAGTGTTACAGGTGAAGGGAATAGAATGTCAAAGACATGAGCAATGCGGTGTGGGGAGTTTGGAGCCTGGTCAGAAGGTCAGGAGAGGTCATGGGAGTGGGGAGGGAGAGCAGTGAGTGAGAAGGCCAGAGAGAGAAGAAGAGGCTTGAATCTTAGAGAGATTTGGATTTTATGCTGAAGACAAAGGGGAACCAACCAGTGGAGGATTTAGGCCGGAGAGTGACTTGGTCAGGGGACAGCACACTGAAAGGCCTGGAAAGGGGGAACACTAGAAACAAGAAGCCATGGTTCTGCAATAGTTGTAGGGATGAAGAGGCAAGAAGAGAACATTGGGGAGAAAGGAAAGCTGATGTGCCTTGGTGACGGGTGGGCTGGGGGTGGAGAGGACGAAGAACCTGGGAGTTGATAATGCTCAGCTTTTTGGCTGCAGTGCCTGGGAAAGTGGGCAAAAAAATGGGGAGTGAAAATGTATTTGTATTTGGGCTCATTGAGTTTGTGGGGCCTGTGGGACATTGGAGAGGAGATACCAAGATGGCAGCTGGATACAGAAGTCTGAAGCTCAGTGGCCTGGTTTCAGAGATTTGGGAGTGGTCAGCGAGTGAGTGGTACTCAAAGCCTCAGGACAGATGAGCTTGCATACAGATAGTGTGTGGAGTGCGAAGAGAAGGAGCAGAAGGGGTCACCAGCTTAGAAGATGTGAGCCGGGCCGAGGAGCTGCACTCTGACCCACAGCACTCTGACATGCGGTCAGATTTGTACTGAGCCACTCAGGGGGCTGCACTGATGCCCTCTTTTGGCTCCTCCAGACCCACTCCCCACCCTTCTGCACCCTACTCTCTGCGCTGGAAGCTGGGCCCTCTGAACTGCATCAATAGGCACCCTGGCCCTCAGACTTGCTGATGCATCTGGCTAAAGAGAGCCCAAGGCAGGTGATCGGGAGGGAGGAGAGGAGAGTGGGGCTGGGGTATTTATACCCAGCTCCCTTCCTCTGAGGGCCCTTCAGGTTGGCTATGTTCCTTAACTGCAGATGACAACTCCTGCCAAGGGCCCCCGGCCACACACTGTCCTGTGGGATTTCGTTAACTTCTCCCTCGCCTCACTCCTATAGGCTCAGGGGTGGTCAGGGTCCCTCAGGGCTCCTGGCCTTGGGCTACAGCACTGTCCCCTGTGGTTATCCTCCCTATCTCCCACACTTTGGTGAGTGGTGGGACTGGATAGCTACGGAAGCCGGGAAAGGAATGAGCACAGAAGCAGGAGACAGTAAGAGGGCCTGACATGCGCTGAGTGCCTCTCTGTACCCAGCCCTTTGACGCTTTTTTTTACCCGATCTTCCCAAGAAGCCTAGGTGTCAGTTCGGACATCAAGACAGGATTAGATGTGCAAGAAATTTGGAAACACGTGTGAGGGTGAAGGGGGAGCAGGAGTGTGCGGCGGGGGCCTTCGGACCCCAGGGCAAGTGTGATACCTGTGGCCCGGGAGCTGGCTGGGGAGGGCTGCAGAGTGGTCTGGAGGAAAAGCTCAGCCGGGCCGATCAACAGGAGACCTGAGGCAGAGGTTGCAAGTTGGAGGGGTCTTGTGTCCTACGGGGATGCACCAGCACTAACGTCCCCACCATGCTTTGGGCACTGGCTGGAGCAGCTTGAGAAAGTGTAGCCGCAGCACAAACACCCAGGGTGGGCAACTACGTGCTCTCCCCACTGGGTTCTCTTCGAGGGCATCTGAGCAATGTGCCACCTTGGCCACCACAGCCCTGATTTTATAGCTGGGAACATCAGAGCAGTGGACAGCAGAGCCAGCTCCGAGCCATGATCTGCGCCTCAGGCCCGTGTCAGCTGCTATAACTTGTATGAATCCTCCCCCGTCTAGGTACCGGAAACTGGCCCTTAAGAACCACCCACTCAAGTCCAGTGAGCCATCCTCAGCAGAGACATTCAGGCAAATAGCAGAGGCCTATGATGTGCTGAGCGACCGTGAGTGACTCCACGCATCTCCTCTGCCCTCGCTCTATTCCTTAGGTCTCTGGGTGTTGGGCTTTCTGAGGGGGCCCAACAGAGAGGAAGCATTCCTCTTCCCTGCCTAGTGTCTGAACAAACTTAGAAAGAAAACAGCATGAAGAATTGCCTCTCTCAGTAGTCACAAGGTAAGGTTGACGTGGCGTGGAGAGCCCTTGGATTAAGCTGATCCGCTCAGCCAGTCTCAGTGGGGCAGGACCTGGGGCAGGTCTCCCACAGCCCCCCCAACCCCTGTGCCCTGCAGGGATGCACACAGTGAGATGCTTGCTGCCAAGGGAGGAAGGTGAGGCTGAGGCGTATGCCCAGTTACTCTTCCCAGACTGCCAAGTAGCTACATCTCCAACTCCCCAAGGACAGCATATCTATAAAGGGGCAGAGAGAGGCTGGTAATTCAGAAATCTCCTGAAACCAAGAGTGTGGAAAGTGATTCCCCATTTCTGCCCTGGGCAGTACCTGCATGGATGTCCCTGAAGGCTTGTCCTGGAGACTAATCACAGATCCTGTGCAGAAGAATGGCCAGATCACAAAGGTTTCTTTAGTCCCAAGTTTTCAGGACTTTAGAGTCCTTAGACTGTAGGATTTCAAAGCTCTAGAATTTCGCAGCTCTAGAATTCTTAGATTCTAGAATTTCAAGGTACTAGGATTCTACCTGCCCCAGAGAAAACAGTAGCTGTGATGATGAGTTTAGCCAAATTCCAGGAGAGTAGCCAGACCCTTAATCTCTAGATCCCTCCTCCAGCCCTCCCCTACCGCCCCCAGCAAGTCTCCACCTAACTCGGTTCTCCTCCTGGCTATAGGACCATACTTAGATGCACCCAAAATGAGATTACACACCTAACTTTTAGGGTCTCCCTCCAAAGAATGCCAGACAACAGACACTTTAGAAATAAGGTTGCTTTTGCCCCTTTCTCTCCACCCTGTGTCCACCTGCTTCCCAGCCCAGCAGCTATCTTAGTCCCCAAGACTGGCCCCCTCCTCAAGGTGCCACATGTCCACAGCTGTGAAGAGAGGCATCTATGACAAGTTTGGAGAGGAGGGCCTGAAGGGCGGGATTCCTCTGGAGTTTGGATCCCAGACCCCATGGACAACTGGTTACGTCTTCCACGGCAACCCTGAAAAGGTTTTCCATGAGTTCTTCGGAGGAGACAACCCCTTTGGTGGTAAGAGACCCCACCTAGCCACTTGCCTGACTGGGAAAGGACAGAGCTGTAAAAGGTTTCTTTTCTTCAAATTCTTTTGTTTTGTTTACTTTAAGAAATAGATACAGTGCATGGTAAAAAAAAAATTGTATTAAAGAAGAAATAAATTCCTTTCTTCCTTCTCCAGAAGCAGCCACTTACTGTTAACAGTTTGTGTATCCTTCCAGAAATGTTCTGTGCATTTATGAGCATATATTTATCTTTACATAAGCCTTTTATCTAATTAAGGAAATAGGACCATATTGTACACACTGATTTTTTTTGCTTAGTATAGCTTGGAGATGATCTTATTATATATCGTATTATATACAGATCTACTTCATTCATTTTAATAGCTGCATCAGGTTTCATTGTATGGGGGTGTGTTAGTCAGATGCGTACATGGATGGATGGGTGAATAATCCCACATCCCAACAAATTGACAAAGAGCTGATTTCTGAGGCCCAGGGTCATCTTGCAAGGACAGTTAACCCTCAGACCTGTCTTCCTGGCTCCAGTTATGTGACTCAGAGAGGCTCGGTGTCACTGCCTGTCCTGTCCCCCTGTGGCCCCTTCCCCTAGATATAATGCCTTTCTGCATTTCAGAAGTTCTCTCTTCCTTTTCTCCATGTTAAAAAGAAGTGAGCTACAGCTCACTGCCTGTCTACCTCAGAGACCCCTCCCACCCTGCATTGCCTTCACTGGTCTGCTAGAGGAAGCTGAGTTCATAAGCTCCATGTGTGATTGGACAAAGCAGGGGACTTGAGGTCAGGCCTGTTTCAAATCCACGCACTGCCACGTATGAGCTGTGTGACTCTGGGCAGATCTCTTCACCGCTCTGAAACCTCAGGTTCCTTACGGTTAAATGGCTGTACTAGTCCATTCCTCACCCGTCATTATCAAATGAGATAATGGGCTTTATAAAGCCATCATGAACATGGGCTTTGCCGATTGAAAGCATACAATGGACCTGTCTCTCCCAGGGACACGTGCATGGAAAAGAGGTAGCTCAGAGGAGCCAACCCAGAACTTACGGGGCATCACCTACAGGGTTTGGGGTCCCTCGGGCAGCACTCAGAAGCTACACTGCCTCAGTGCTTCACCCTAGGGGTCCTTGTGTCCCGTCTCCCTGCAGGGCCGAGGGACTCGGCCTTCCTATGACCTGGCTACTGGGGTGTCTGGTGCACCATAGGTGCAGGGTGAACAAATGAATTCAGTAATACAAGAGGGGACCAGGTAATTCACAGGCCTCTCGATTAGTTATCACCTCACAGCGGGGCACACATTACAGTGGGGACTCGCCCTCCCTAGCCTCAAGTCATTGCACCCTTCTAGCCTGTGACGTTCATTCCTGGCACTAACCGTAAGAGGTAGAGTACAAAAAATCTTAATTATGATGGCAACCCCGGAATTCACAAAATTTATGAAGGGTTTCACATGTAGCAATAAGCATAGTGGTTCAGGGCGCAGGTTCTAGAGTCAAATTGTCCTGGGCTCAGGTGGACTGTGGGACTGTGAGCATTTTCCTTGGTCTCTGCCCAGTGAGAGAATAGTGTGAAGAGCTGAAACCAGTCCCTGATGCGTAGTTAGCTCTCAGCAACCTTTGGCTCTTCTTCATCATCTTATTTAATCCTAATGGTAGAAGGCAGATCAGGCATTCTTACTCCATCCCACGGACAGAAAAACTGAAACCAAACAACTACATAGAGACAACTCAACTTCGAGAGACAAGGGCTCTTTGCACTGGGATGGAAGGGCGGGGCAGCAAGAGGGGTTACAGGTGTAGAGCTAGGCAGGGAGAAAAGAGATTGAGGGGAAAAAAAAGAGTTTGGTGAACTCTCAAATTTGTTAGGAACCACCCCTGCCCCAGCCCCTTGTCAGCTGCTGACTTCATAGAAACTTGAGTCTGGGGTCTCTAGTGGTCTTAGGCTGGGCTGGACAGTGAGGGAGAGGAGAGCCTGGGGAAGGGTAGGAAGGTCTAGGATGCATATGACCCTCCCAGCAGCAAGCTAACAGCCAGAGTCATTTCTGGCATACCAGGAGCCACCACCAGAGGGCACTCCTCTCTCTTCTGAGGCAGCCAGCCTTGAGGGGTATTTCCCCAAGCTTAGGGGGAAGGGAGTCAGAAAAGTGTGGGAATATCCAAACAGGGGGATGAAGCAGTGGGAAGGGGCAAGGAATGATAGTCATTGGATCTGCAATTGAGGACAACTTTTTGGCCTGGCCTAACAATCTGAGTCTGCAAGGTAGGAATGGGATGCTGGGGACTGAAGAGGTGTGTGTGGAGGTGTCTATGCATGCAAGTCCCTGGAAACAGCCTCTCTTACTCTTCTCCTCTCCCCACCTCCTGCAGAGTTTTTTGATGCAGAAGGAAGTGAGGTAGATTTGAACTTTGGGGGGCTCCGGGGCCGAGGGGTCAAGAAACAGGACCCCCCAATCGAACGAGACCTCTACCTATCCCTGGAGGACTTATTCTTTGGCTGCACCAAGAAAATTAAGATCTCCCGAAGGGTGAGTACTTGGCTTGCTCCTACTGGGAGCCACTACCTATCCCCTCCAATCTTATAAGTAACCTCCTCCCTATCCTCACTGGAGACCTCAGGTATGGTCTCTGATAGAATCATGAAATCTCAGATTTGGAGACCTAGGATAATAGAATTCTAGAATCTGAAGTTGGAAGGGACAATTGAAGGTATTAGCCCCATTCTTTCCTAGTGCAGGAATCTCCTCTCCAGTGTTCTAAGTGGGACAGAGTCTTCCCTTTCTTCTCAGTTCAGCCCCATCCCTGTGGGAAGTTGGGCTCTGAATAGGTAGAGTCTCTTGTGAATTCTGCCCTCTGGACATTACCAGACCATACCCCCAGGGCTTCATCAGTGTGTAAGCCTCATGAGTAAGAAGAAACAGTGTGGGCATGGAGGGTGGGCTGCGAGTCCCCAAAGAGTCTGACTGAAGACCTTCAGGGCCTCAGGGTGCAGTTTTTGGGTTGGCCCTGTCCCATGGCCCAGCCCTATGGTAGGCACACGAGCAAGGCCTCCTAACACCTTCGCCCAGAAGAGGAGATGCCAGCTATGGCCAGGCTTTCCACAGATGGCACCCATCTGAGCATGTGATTGGTTGGGGAATGGATGGATGACATAATAGGGAATGCTCAGATATGCTGACCTCTGTGGTCTTTCTCCCTTCATGATTAAGAGACCTGCCAGAGCCTCAGAGCCAGAGCCTCTGGGTTGGGAGAGGACCTGGGTATGTGTTCACTATGCATTTGTTAGTGGCCAGGGCCACGTGATTTCTAGGGCTGGAGTTGGGGGCTTGATCAACTCATGGTGACCACTTGGCATCTCAGGCCCCAGCCCCATGACATAGTCTGTCATCCTGGAATTATAAGTCCTTGGTTCCAGTGAATGGGGTGAGAGTGGGAATGGCTCCGGGAAGGTTCTCCCTGTTGCTAGAGGAATGAACCCCTGTAACATCTTTCTCATGTGAAGAGGCCAGCCGGGAAAGCCCCAGCAAACCTCCCCCCCTGCCATCTGGCTGCAGGTGCTGAACGAGGATGGGTACTCCTCTACCATCAAGGACAAGATTCTCACAATTGATGTGAAACCCGGTTGGAGGCAGGGCACACGGATCACCTTTGAGAAGGAAGGGGACCAGGTGAGAAGGAGGGAACTGACTAGGGTCAGTCCTAGTTGGTCTCAGTCACCTGGGTTTGCTCATGGGGTGGGAAGACTGAAGGGGAAGGAGGCAATGTTTTCTCCTGCCCTGTGAGCCCTAGTCTGGTAGGGAGACCAGTCTGCAGAGTGGGTGAGATGATCCCCAAAGTCCCTTTCAAGCGACAGAGCCTCACCATACCTTTGTGAGTGGATAGCCCAGGGCTTTTCCCCATTTTGCAGAATAGGAAACTGAGGCCCAGAGAGGGAAGGGATTTGCCCAGGGCAAGAGCACAAGAGCTCTTCCAGAAGAGACTTTAGCAGAGTTTTGGTGACTTAATGATGCTTGGCAGGACAGAGGCTTGCAGAAAGTTGTCTTCAAAACTTGCAGCTCAAGACAAACCATGAGAGACGATGGACTCTGAAAAACAAACTGAGGGTTCTAGAGGGGAGGGGGGTGGGAGGATGGGTTAGCCTGGTGATGGGTATTGAGGAGGGCACGTTCTGCATGGAGCACTGGGTGTTATGCACAAACAATGAATCATGGAACACTACATCTAAAACTAATGATATAATGTATGGGGATTAACATAACAATAAAAAAGTTTAAAAAAAAACCAAACTTGCAGCTCAGCGTTTTGCCCACCACCTAAGGAAGCTCTGTCCCCCTCCAGCTGAGTGAATCCTTTTGGGCATGCTCAATAGAGGAAAAGTAGTGTGGCGGGGCGGGGGGGGCTGGATTCACTCGAGTAAGCTTCTCAGAGGAGGGGATATGGAACCAAATGTAAAGGTCCTTCCAGAAAACCTAGTTTAATCTCTTGTTGAAGACATGGAGGCAGGAACTTGGCCAGTGGCACACAGCCAATTAGTCCTTGTCAACACTTGGCCTCCTCTGCCCAGGGCCCCAACATTATCCCAGCCGACATCATCTTCACCGTAAAGGAGAAGCTACACCCTCGCTTCCGCAGGGAGAATGACAACCTCCTTTTTGTGAACCCCATTCTCTTGGGCAAGGTGAGTGGGCAAAGTGGAGGAGTAGAGGTGGGCAGATGAGAGTGAGCAAGCTGGCCGCACTCTGCACTCCCCACACTGTGTGGGGCAGGCCTTCAGAACGTGACGAGTGCACATAGAATCTTTGTGGCTGTCTTCAGGGCCCCTCCATGTAAGGAATAGCACCAGCCTAGACTTTTCCTTCCCTCCCCCACCCCACCTGCAGGCAGTCACTCAGTCAGTCCTGCCACCTGGTCTCCTTCTGTTCATCCCCACAGTGTGGGTGTGGGCACCTGCATCTGCCTAGCAGCCCTTTGGCAGCTCTCCGGCCTCCCTTCCAAGCATTTCCTCTAGGCTCTTCCCTGTACTCATTGGACTGTGCCGCAGGCCTGTCTCAGCATCTCATATGGCATTCAGGGTCCTCCACACTCTGCCCCTGCGGATCTCTTTCCCTGCACTCCGACTCCTGTCCATTGGGTGCATTTTTCACACCTCCATACTCTTGTTTGTGCTTGGCTCTCTGCATGGAATGCTGTATATCCACCTTGTCTACCTAAGCTCCTTCTCACCCTGATCAACTGCTACCACCACTGTGCAGCCCTCCTGTCCCACTCCAAAACGGTTTTGGGGCCTCTCTTTGGCTCTCGCAGACCCTTTTACTTCCCTCTATCAAAACATATCATCATCAATCTTAGTTACCAGACTGAGCTCCTGAGAGCAGGTAGTTGCCTGGCTTGCTCTCCTGTGAGTCCTTGAACAGCCTTTTGTCTCCTCGAGGTGGAGCTCAGGGCCTGGCACTGAATAAGCTCTGAAAGTGCCTTCTAAACAGAATGGCCATGGTGACCTCCCCTACTCGCACCTTTGGCCCTCATGTCCCCTAGGCTCTGACCTGCTGCACCGTGGAGGTGAAGACCCTGGATGATCGTCTGCTCAACATCCCCATCAATGACATTGTCCAGTGAGTGCATCTGCTTGGGCCCCAGTCGGCAGAAAGGCTGGCCTGGGCCTTGGAGGGTAGTGGCACCCTGGGCAGCCTGGTGCAGTTCAGTCCCCACCAGAGAGGACTGAAATCCAGCCCCACCTCTGGCCAACTGCATTCACCTGGTAAATGGAGTGCCTTTTTCTAACTTGCACGAGGCCAATATAGAGCCCAGAGGGCCCCCCCCCCACCTCCTGTGTTGGCAGTCTTGGTTGCCTTCCTCCTCCTGAACCTCTCATTAGTGTTCTGAGTTGTATCCCTTAAGTCCTTTACAGGAAAGGCCCTCTGCATGGGAAGCTTTACTCAGTAGCTCAGCAACCCCCACCCCAACTCAGGGTGGAACCTCTAGTTCTGGAACCCTCTATTAGATACTCAGTGTAAATGGGTTCTCAGGGGGCAGGCTGTCTGAACAAGCCAGTCCCCCCACCACCACCCTGTTGTGTCTGAAAAGGGCCACCTGGTGGAAAGCGGTACCGACTGCCCCATGCCTGAGGTTATGTGAGCAGGGGCAGCATGGGATCTGTCAAAGCGCTATGGGGGGTGGGGGGACAGGGAGGGAGGGTGATAATTTCCCTTCTTTCATCCTCCCGTCTCAGTCCCAAGTATTTCAAGAAGGTGCCAGGTGAGGGGATGCCACTACCTGAGGACCCCACTAAGAAGGGAGATCTCTTCATCTTCTTTGACATCCAGTTCCCCACCCGCCTCACGCCCCAAAAGAAGCAAATGCTGCGCCAGGCATTGCTGACATAACTGGTGGGCTGGGGGCTGGAGCACGGGAGAAGGCTACCTGGACCTTATCCCATTCCTGCCTCAGGATATGCAAGGGAGCCAGCCCGCTGCACAGATGTGATGTGAGGATCGGATGGCATGGGACTTTTAAACTGACACAATAAAGATTTATTTCCTATCTTCCAGTTGCACCCAGAAGACTGTGTTGGAGGGAGAGGAGCTTCATATATCTCTTCTTGTGGAGCAGAGGGAAGGGCAGGGCCCAGGAAGCCTAAAACCTGGGTCCTTGTCCAGGTTTTTTTTTTTTAATTCATTAATTAACATATAATGTGTTATTGGTTTCAGAGGTAGAGGTCAGTGATTAAGTGATATAAGATCAGTCTTATATAATACCCAGTGCTCATTACATCACGTGCCCTTCTTAATGTCCATCACCCAGTTTCCCTATCCCCCCATTCCCTCCCCTCCAGCAACTCTCAGTTTGTTTCCTATATTAAGAGTCTCTTATGGTTGTTCTCCCTCTCTGATTTTGTCTTTTTTCTTCTTCTCTTCCCCTATGATCCTCTGTTTTGCTTCTTAAATTCCACATATGAGTGAAATCATATGACAATTGTCTTTCTCTGATTGACTTACTTTGCTTAGCATAATACTCTCCAGTTACATCCACGTCATTGCAAATGGCAAGATTTCATTTTTTGATGGCTGAATAGTATTCCATTGTGTATATATACCACATCTTCTTTATCCATTCATCTGTCAATGGACATCTAGGCTCTTTCCATAGTTTGGTTATTGTGGACATTGCTACTATAAACATTGGGGTGCAGGTGCCCCTTCGGATCACTACATTTGTATCTTTGGGGTAAATACCCAGTAGTGTAATTGCTGGGTTGTTGGGTAGCTCTTTTTTTAACTTTGAGGAACCTCCATACTGTTTTCCAGAGTGGCTGCACCAGCTTGCATTCCCACCAACAGCATAAGAGGGTTTCCCTTTCTCCACATCCTCACCAACATCTGTCATTTCCTGACTTGTTACTTTTAGCCATTCTGATAGTATGAAGTGGTATCTTGTATTTTGATTTGTATTTCCCTGATGCTGAGTGATGTTGAGCATTTTTTCATGTGTCTGTTGGCCATTTGGATGTCTTCTTTGGAGAAATGTCTGTTCATGTCTTCTGCCCATTTCCTGACTGGATTATTTGTTCTTTGGGTGTTGAGTTTGATAAGTTCTTTATAGATTTTGGATACTATCCTTTTATCTCATAAGACATTTGCAAATATCTTCTCCCATTCTGTCAGTTGTCTTTTGGTTTTGTTGACTGTTTCCTTTGCTGTGCAAAAGCCTTTTATCTTGATTAAGTCCCAATAGTTCATTTTTGCCTTTGTTTCCCTTGCCTTGGGAGATGTGTCTAGCAAGAAGTCGCTATAGCCGAGGTCACAAATGTTGCTGCGCTGTGTAAGGAAATGGTCTAGTTTCAATCTTCTGCATGTGGCTGTCCAATCTTCCCAACACCATTTGTTGAAGAGACTGTC